CACGACGACGCTGCTCCAGCAGGGCTGGGTCTGCCAGCGTTGCCCCGGACCCCGGCTCCTCGGCAGGACTCCCCACACGCAGGAGGAAGAGCGAGGCGGCAGTAAGGCAAGGCCCTGGCGCCCGTGGCGAAAGCGGAGGCCGGGCTGGGTGTGCGGCGGGAGCGCCCCCACGCTCCTTTGTTCGGCTTGCCCCCGCACTCCTTTATTCGGCTCGCCCCTTCCCAGACTTGGCGTCTCTTTGTTGCGGTATTCGCTCCATAAGATGCACACACTTCCCCCCCACTTTTTTTTGGGGGGAAGTGCATCTTATGGAGCGAAAAATATGGTATGTGCTAAAGTCAAGAGCCTTTAGGTCTGGTTGTGCCCTATTGGTTGGACCCATCCAGATTTTCTGGCTGTGAAAAAGGAGAAAAACTCTTTGAACACTCAAAAAGGCTATACTAGTCTCATGGTATATACATGTGCAAAAACCATAGGGGAATGTAGCTGCAGAATGCAAGGGAACTGGATTAAATGGAGTGAAACTCCTAGTTAGATTCAACCCTATGTTACTGTTCAAGCCCCCAATCAAAGGGAAAACAAGGACTGTTTCTGTACTCTACTCTCTTTAGGGCACTGGTTTCCCCCTGCCCTCGACTCTGGCCTTGATTTTAGAATTCAAGTACACAACAGCATACTAAACAAGCAAAGGGGCAATTCAGTATAATAAGAGCTGACAAGATAATAAAATAACAATAAGTTTGCCTGCTGTTACACCTTGCAAGAGGAAAGTCTGAAATGAGCTTGTAAAATTGTCGAAATCGACTCAGTGAATTACTATCCACATCATATGAGTCACAGAGGGGCTACTGAAATGTTACGAGATGAAATTAGTATAGGGAAAAATCCATTCAAAGACTAGAATACTTTGTAAATGCAGTGCATGAACCTTTTGAAGTCTTATCTATAGTGTTGCTGAAATATATTTAAAGCTGCTTATCACAATGACACATTTAATATACTGTGAATCAAAGTGTTTTTTAGGCATTCTATGCTCTATTCATTCATAGTAATGGAGCTTTAGAAGATTGTCTGAACAGTAGTAGTATTCTGGGCCATAACATCTTTTTGCAGTTATACAGGCAGTGAAATCAGGACCTTAAGAAGTAAGGAATTAGCAGAAAATAATTCTCCCATCAAACATCTATTTCAGTTTGTCCTCCTCATTCATTTAAAAAAACCCAACCCAATAGTTTCTATTACTTGCAGAATTAGAAAGAACAGGCTGCATGTATTTATTTTATTCATGATGGCATTTGATCAGTTCTTCTGCCTGCCAGCAGTTTTAAATTACTAATTTTAACGGGTGGTTTTATTGATTTTATTATTATTTACACTGGAAGCCGCCTTAAGTTCCTCTAAGTTAGAAAGGCAGAAAACAAATGTTTTAAAGATATAAAAATAAAGCATTCTTTCTAGTTTCCAATAGCTGACAAACATGCAAAGGGCTGTTGCAAAGTGTGACAGGAAACCAAAGAATGCTGCTGGAACACTTCGTATTTGTGGGTAAATGCTGAGGGATTACTCTGAAGGTTCTTTTAGGAGCAGAGCTAGTTCTAGTAGCCTGAGCTTCCCTTAGTTCCAGCTTGAAAGAACAGACTGGGGGGCACACAGATGCCTTTCCAGTCAGGGATTACAATATGCTGACAAAGCTGCTATAACTATAAAGCAGCCAGGCATAACAGGTGCCAGCAAAGTGGAACAACTTGGGAACTTCTCCTGGATGATGAAGAAACAGCTGCTTCTTAAATGAACTTGGTTTTCTTCCAAACATTTATTTGGCACAGGGGGGAAAACACTGTGGCGTTCAGAGTCACTGATTTTACATGCTTATAATGTGTTTTAAAATTTTATTGTATTTATGTAAATGTTGTAACCCGCCCTGAGCCCGTTTACGGGATGGGCGGGATATAAATGAGAAAAATAAATTTAAAAAAATAAAGAATGCACTAAACTAGGAACTAGGTTTCAATTAAAGATAGGTCAACATAACACAGTTAAGAAGGCTGATAATAAACAACTTACTCACTGAGTCAGGATGGAAACAAAAATTAGAACCTAGTACCAGGAAATGTGCTTTCCAGTTCTTCCTGCATAATTCTCATCTGATGCTGAAAACTTCCATATGTGTGCCACAGGCACATGCAATAGGCACTTGACTTTTTTAGATTTCCCCAGGCTAGAACCATAACTTGCCATTATGGAATGTAAAAATTTGGCTGCACCACACACAGTGATACACACACACACCTTCCAGTATAACTCCAGCCCTCACCTAGATGTGCCTGCCGGAATTATCCTGAGCCATTTGTTCTTAGCCGGTGGCATGCTGCATGGTTATATGGTTTATCTGTGTGAGAAGAGGAGATGGCCTGCCCTTGCACAGGGGTTGCCTTAAGTGGCACGTCAAACTATAACTCTTTCATGTGATTCTGTGTCCTGTTGGGTTTTCTGGCCAAGTGGTTGCAGCTTTGCCTATTTGTGGCAGCAAACTACCATTCACACAAGATATTGCAGGGCAGTATGGATGGAGCCACCCCAACCCAGCCTGGTATAGCTTAGCTCCTGGCTCTTCTCTTCCCATTTTCCTTTCAGCCTTCTAATACCAAACTTCAGTGAAAAATCACTGCCAGAGGTAGAACACATGCAAAAGTTTGCCTAAAGGTGGACAGTGTTCTAATGGGCGTGGCCCAAAGCTTTAACTCCTGTATCCAGGGCTATTTTTGGGAAGGAACGCACAGGAACGGAGTTCCAGCTGGCTTCTGAGTTGGCCACGCCTACAGCCTCTCCCCCTCCGGTTCCCCAGGTGCCTCACAAGCTGCGAAGTGCCTGGGGAAGCCAAGCCGATCCAGGGAGGGAAGGCAGTTTAAACTGCCTTCCTTCCCTCAGATTCCCCAGGCACCCCGTAAGCCGTGGGGCACCTGGGGAAGCTGATCCTGGGAGGGAGCTGTGCTGTCCGGGGTATGGCCTAATATGCTAATGAGTTTCTGCTGTTGCGTGTGGCCTATTATGCTAATGAGTTCCTGCTGGGCTTTTTCTACAAAAAAAGCCCTGCCTGTATCCCAAGCCCAATTGTTCATCGTCACTTGTGTAGACTTAGTAATGTTATATATTCACCTCTGATTTCATCTTCTTGTCTCCAAAAATGAAGCTTCAAAGCATAAAAACACGAGCTAAAAATACACTAGGAAGTTTCCAGATCAGCACAATTGTGATGTTGCCTGTCATTTACCTCTCTCACCATTGTAGTGCACACTTTAGAATACTGGCTGTCCATGGATACTTCCTCCTGAAATATGGACTCAGGGTGTGTTATGGCACTGTACCCATGTGCACCCCAACAAACACAGCACACTCCAATTAAAATGCTGAAACAATCTGTCAGGCTGAGAAAAAGCAAAGTGCCAAATTCCTGCAATTTTACAGAGAATGCCCTGCCATTTAAGGTTCAGCAAGCATTTAAAGCACTTGCTGGAGCACAAGGAGAGTCAGAGCACAGACAAGATGAATGCTTAAAAAGGTAAAGGTTCCCTTGCTCGAAAGCCAGTCGAATCCGACTCTAGGGTTGCGGTGCTCATCTCCGTTTCAAAGCCGAAGAGCCAGCGCTGTCCAAAGACATTTCCATGGTTATGTGGCTGGCATGACTAAGCACCAAGGCACACGGAACACTGTTACCTTCCCACCGAAGTGGTACCTATTTATCTACTTGCAATTTCTTGCTTTCGAACTGCTAGGCTGGCAGGAGCTGGAACTAGAGATGGGAGCTCACTCCGTCATGCAGCACACTTGGGTCTCGAACTGCTGAACTACCAACCTTCCACAGCCTGCAGTTCAGCGTCTTCACCACTTGAGCCACCGCAGCTCCTATTGTTTAGCACACCTTAAAGCTCCTTGGGGAATAAGATCACTAAGGAGCAATGAAGCATGCTAATTGCATAAGTACTGGCACAATAATGATTAATACTCAGGAGCATGACGAAGAGCATGTTTCAAGGAGTGACGTACACCCTAAGTAGGTGATTAGATGAAACCAAATGCCTCTACAAGGAAGAAACAATGAACAACAAATGCAATACCAGGAGCAATAAAACACGGTACTGATTCACCTGAATTTCCTCCCCCAGGACGTCAGCATGAGTGGACTTTTTCCAATAGATTTGCACACGTTCAAGAGATCATGTGACTGAATGGAGTGCATACATGTCATATGCCCAGATTCAGGTTATCAGAGGCTTGCCCAGCCTCAGGTTGAGCTGAATACGATTATTTCACAGTACACGGATCCCTCAACACAGTTCTGAATTCATGAAAAAGCCATGAACTAGATGCCTATTCTCCTTCAGCAAGTGACCGTCACTTGACAATGAACTGCTGAGTGGCATGGATTCTTCCACAGTGCAACAGTTTGAATAAGATATCCTTTTGGTCCTCTCTTAAGTCTTTTACTCTAGGCCTCCATAACTAGACTCCTTATTAATACAAATGTCAACATACGACAACAGTGAATTTAAGAGATTTTTGCTGGCTTTCAAATCTGAAGGCAAAAGTTGAAGGCTATGACGAGGATGCCATCCAGTTGCCCAGAAGTTTACGATGTTTTGTCACAGTGGAGACATGAAAAACAGAAAAAAAGTAAACATATCCGATGCTTATCCTTGGCTACCTCCTAGATGGCCAAAGATTGCAGGCAAACTGGTTGGCCTGATTCCTTTTCTAAATCACTGCCAAATGGAGTTGTAAGCAATACAAGATTTAAAAATAACCAGAAGCATAATTGGTTTATATGAATTACTTCTGACAGGTGCATTCTTAGGTTCAGAACATTAGTGATCTATCATCTGTTGCTACAGGGCACATTTATTCTGATGATTTTGGGAAAGCAGTGCTAGTTTCGTCCAATTATCTTTTAGAACTTGATCTTGCAAAGCTCTTGCAGAAACCAAAGCAATCTTCTCTCTTACCATCGTGGCCAGAATTCAGGAGATGTTCTCCAAGGTCGCAGCCAAACACCCTCTCCTTTAGGATCCCACGTTGCTTTAATTTCTGTTTCGTTGGCCGAGACTTCATGAATGTGCGCAGGAAAGTTATGAGCTTGCCGTGTTTTTTGGACACTGTCAGATTGAAACAAATTGATTACTCGGGGAGCAGATTACCAAAACAGAAACATACACAATACCTTATTTACCTGAAAGGAAGACTAGATCCCCCACCCCACCCCCAAGTGCTGTCAAAAAAAAAAGAGGGGAACTTCCTTAAATTAGCATAGAAGTTACAGTTACATCCAGCTGTAATTAGAAAACCCACAACTTTTGAGTATAACCTTTTTGCAGGGAGATCACTTTACAATCAGGGTTGCCTTCCTCTTGGGTAAATACAGTATATTCCACTGAACACCACCAATTCTAGTCACTATCAGTCACTGTTATTGACATGCATGTGTCTTCTTTGCCCCCCAACTTATCCTCCTCCCCCTTTATCCCCTCCCCATTCCTTGTGCCATCAAAAATAAGTCATTAAGGGGAAACAAAATCTGTAAGGAAAGGTTTTAAATACAGCATTTTTTCATGTAAGACTCTGGATAATAACTTCAAGGTCCTTGTGCTTGTCCAACAGCGGCAGAACAACAGCCATCCAAAAGTTTGTTGTTTCCTTCCCATACCAAGTACATATTTCACAGTCTTACTTGTATCTCCCGGATCTCCCCTCTACAAAATATATGGGGAATGCAACCTATGTCTTCCCTCTCATAGCGTCCTTTCACCCTTGCAGACGGCCGAGTGTAAAACTTTTTCAGTTAATGGGTTGATAGGACTGTGATAGTAGGAATGAAAAGGGAAGAGAAGAGGTATTTCCTAGAGGAAAGAGATTTGAGTCTCCATCCCTTGCTTAGCCATAGTTTGGTTTACTGGACAGTCTAGTTACCGACAACTGCTTAGCCTATTCCTGTTCTTTTAAGAGCAATAAAATGCCATATCTCCTTAGGGAATATTGCAAGATTGGTGTACTCTTCCACCCTTCATTCAATGTTAAGTTTAAAAATGCTTTTGTTAAAATCTGATGTTATGTCCAATTGCTGGGCAGGAACTATGTACCCCTGCAACAATTAGAACAAACATCTCATTGTAGATCCAACGCAGTATAATCATCATGCTATACTTTATATGATTTCAAAGTAGATAAGCTGTTCTTTCACAGAAGTGTGTGTGTGGGGGTGAGAGATCTATGAAATTAAAGGAACTAATGCCCTTTTAGGTTTCATATGTACAGGACACCATTTGGAGCAGAAATGGCTGCACTGCTAGTGCAGTGCTGGCTATATTAATTTCAGATAGACAGTAAAGACAATAATGCACAGGGGAGAATGTTTCCAACAGCAAATGCTAAGACAATAGCATGGAACAATAGATTGAAACTATTATTCCATGAGCAACTTTGGCTCCAGATTACATACAGATTACATCTATGCCAATAAAGGTTTGAACTTGAACATACAGATTACTAACTTTAGAACTATGAACAATTCCTCTAGGGTTCACACACCAAATAAGTCAGGATAGGCAGCTCCTGGCATGTGTGCTGAATGATGGCATGCCGTGCCATTCCCTGCTCCACACCAACAGCAGGGGTGTGATCAAGCTGGGATAGGGTGGAGCACAGATCTAGGATTATTATTTTCCCCACCCGGAGCAGTGATGCCATCAACTGGCCCTCCGTCTTCTGGCCCCACCTCCAGTGAGTGCAAGCCGCCACATGCCAAAAGTTGATACTCTGCTGCTCAGGGAATTTATACTGTCAGGAAGGTGTGGGAGACTGTCAGTTGCACTTGCAAGCAGCCTCCTCTGAGGAACAGAAGCCACCACTGACCCACTGAAGTGGAGGAACCTCTGCAGTCAGCAGGAACTTGGGCTGCCTCGAGACCCAGTGGAGTGGGGCTCTGGTTGGACACAGCCTGAGATCAGAAGGTCCCCTTGCCCCCTCACAGTGCCCTCAAACCCTTCTGGTCCACTGAGGCACCTGCAAACTCATTCAGCTACCTGGTGTGATTCAGCAAGGCTGCAGGAGAAAAGGTAGCCTCACTGCTTACTGGAAGGCGGAGGGGACCATGTGGCGTGGTATAGGCTCCCCATCCTCTTTCTCAGAAAGGGAGGTTTGTGACAGAGATTGGGGGGGAGAAAGAGACATCCAAGGTCAGGAACAGGTCGGGGTGGAGGGTCTCCCTTCCTGTAGGCTGCAACTGTTTAAAATTAGAATTTGGAGTGTGCTGATTCTATGACTAAAAGTTTCGGTGTAAACACTCCCACTGATGCCCTCAAACCCCACTCGGACCCTGCTCAGGAAAGCATCTTTTTAAGGACCAGGCACTGAACTGACTTTACTTTCATCCACTATAATCACATCTCTAAACAACTTTTCTCAAGCACCTTTATTTTAGCTTCTTGCTCCCATGGAAACCCTCCCCTCAAATGATCAATATATAAAATATGCATTATATCCAATTTTGTAGTTGCCCATCACACCAGCATTTTCACAGGCAGATACTACAACCCCCCCCCCCCCCCCCCCCTGTGGCATACGCAGATGAAACCACGATCACCAATGTAGCTATCTGGTTAGAGAATGGGTAAATAGAAAAACTGGAAAAGAATACTATAATTTTTTTAATTTTCATAATCCCCCATAACAGACAATGCCGCTTTCTTGACCTCTAATTTGAACAAGACAATGAATTCTCCATTATATTAATATCTGGTAAACTCAATTGAATTACAGATAATGCAATAGAGATTTCTCCAAGCAGCAATTATGTATGGGAGCAAAATGACCCTATATTAAGAGGATGGAATCGGCATACATGTAACAGGACAAAGCAGTTTCATTACATTGTTTTCTTTTTTTAAAAAACTGACAAAGAAAATTTGCAAAGTGATTTACAAAGAAGCCCTGATTATCTAACTGAAATCCTTTTGTTTGCCTGGTTTACAATCAATCCTGCAGAAACATTCCACTCAAATAAAAGCCAACAGAACATGAAAGCCAGAAAAGGATTTCCTTTGCATTCAAGTCTTTTCAATACCAGGAAGTTATAAAGGCTCACAAAATAGCAGTATTAGCCATCAGGCTCCCTATGCTTTTTGATCAGTAGAGGCCAGAAGAAAGATCAAGTCTATATACCATTAATGCTACATGCATTGGTATGGTAATCAAAGGACCCGATGAGTAGAATCCTTGTGAAGAAACAGCCACCATTTCTTCATATTCAAAATGGCAGAAACATTGCTTTAGAGAGTGCAGAACCTGGCAAGAAGGGAAAAGAAATCTGAAGATCTTCAGTTGAATTGGATGCTGGCCTTCCAAAGCACTGACATTTGAGACCATGCAAAAATTTGTGAAAATTATATTAAGAGTTCTTACTGCTTAAGAACAGGTATGATTAAACAGAGAACAATTTGGTTTCCATGCTTTCATGAAACTATATTAAAAGCTTTAATTTCAAATACCTCTGAGGCGTTTATTTTTCGGGCAACAGAGCTACCTTTCCTTTTTAAATCTAGCCTCGCCATCTCTCCCTCCAGGTGCTCATCTGCAGGATAGCCGAGCCTGACATGCCACATTTATTAATCAAACTGATACCTTATGTATCTAACAAGTGAAAAGGCCGTACCTCTACACTTCAAATGGGTGTAGAATCTCACTGGACAATTACACAGTGAAATGGAGTGTGTCAGGTTAAATATTGTTCCTACAACTATGGAGCTGTGCTAAAAGTGGCATAAGAGGCTGTTACGGGGCAAGAAAAGTAAAGTTTGTGGGGATGGTAGCGCTAAAAATGCCACTGTTACTGTAGTGCTCACCAGGGTTTGTGCAAAGTTCAAAGCACACTCTGCAGCTCTTTTGGCCTTGTGCTGTTAAGTTTTTACAGCTGGAATTTATAGCATCTGGGTCCCAAGTACATCAGACCTGGACTGCAATCAAGGTGTTCTTTGCTGGCTGGCTAACGGCAAACATTACCTTTAGCCTAGAAGTTTTATGACTCTGACAAAGTTAAGAACAAAGGAAAAGGATGGTGGGGATGATTCACGCCTTTTCAGAAAAAACTTCAAAGTTTTTTCTTTTCGTTTTTTAAGTTCACAGATCCAAGATCTTCTTTCTCATCTTAGTACCCGTTGCCTAGAATGGGCCACTGCATTTCCTGTTCTCAGTTTGAGGACAGCTGAACGCCAATACTTGGCACTCCTGGCCAGTTATAAAAAATGTGCAGGCAGTCAGCAGTTCTCCCCCAGATCCCGTATTAGAACACCCTCTGCTCACAGAGGAATGAGGCTAAAGTTTTCTGTACCTTGACAGATTCAAATCTAATGTGAGGATACCAAGAACCCTGCTAGTAGTCATAGCAAACTTCATCAATACAATGATTTACCACAAAATACTTATGCTTTGTTCAGACAACAGCTCTGGTTCAAATTCCTGCAATTCCTAGTCTTATTACATTACTTATTAGATGTATCGTCCTACTGATTAACAAGGATTCTCAGTGAGAAAAGCAGGCTATAAATAATGTAAATAAATATAGTTTGCATGCAATATATTGACTGATAAGTAATATTTCTATAAGCAATATGCCATGGAAAACGGAACTCAACAGATCCGGATACACAGATTTACAAATACACTAAGGGTTTTAAATGCTTGTGAAAATATCCAAAATATCTTCAGGGAGGAAATACAGCAACTGAAAGCTCCTTAAAGCGCATGGGTACAAGCATGCCTTAGCAATCCACTTAAAGTGCTTTGTGACAGTTTAGTAAGCATTTGCAGATGAATTAAAACCACTCACATCATACAGTTGCCTGGCCGAAGCACTAATATATTTAACACATGTCCTTTCCTAGTTATAATAGCAGCAGGATTGCTAATATAGGATTAGTATCCTGGAAAAGAAAATCTTTCGACATACAGAATGACCCAAATTTATAGCTCATGATCAGCATATTGGCTGCCTTTTTTATTAATAACAGTGATTTTACACTCAGCTGTCTTCTGCTGTGCAGAAAATGTTGTGCTAAGGTCAAAAACTAGAACATGTGCAATTGCATGGTTTTAAGCTGATAAC